TTTGGTTTTACGGAGGAGAATTTACAGCCAAAATTTTTGACTTTTTGGGGTTGGAATGTGTTTCTTTTGAATGTAAACTTACAAAAGATTATATTGTTATCAAACACATTCTAAGACTATCAGTACTATTTTGAGGCTGATATTCAAATTCTCTTCAAAAAATCAAAAAACTTTTCAACTTGCATAGACAATAAAAGTTTTTTCTGTCTATTTATTTTCAAATTTTATACTTTTCATCTAAAGTAAACTGATTTTTACACTAATGTTACTTCCAGAATTAGGCTATTTGAATTCACATCTACCAAGTTTCTATGTAATTTCTACATTTGTCACTTTGTTAAAACAACTAAAGCGAGTAAGTGCAAACTGCAGCTAGATTTTGAATATGTTCAATATGATGGGTTAATGTTATACACCACTTAATCGCGCGATGAGATAACTATTTCTTTTCATGTTTCTTACAATCATGAGTCCATATTTTGTATTGTGGTAGTTTCACGATGGCTTGGAAATGATGAGTCCATATTTTGTTTTGTGGTAGTTTCATGATTGCCTGGAAATGATGAGTCTATATTTTGTATTGTGGTAGTTTCACGATGGCTTGGAAATGATGAGTCCATATTTTGTTTTGTGGTAGTTTCATGATTGCCTGGAAATGATGAGTCTATATTTTGTTTTGTGGTAGTTTCATGACGGCCTGGAAATGATGAGTCCATATTTTGTTTTGTGGTAGTTTCATGATGGCCTGGAAATGATGAGTCCATATTTTGTTTTGTGGTAGTTTCATGACGGCCTGGAAATGATGAGTCTATATTTTGTTTTGTGGTAGTTTCATGACGGCCTGGAAATGATGAGTCCATATTTGTTTTGTGGTAGTTTCATGATGGTCTGGAAATGATGAGTCCATATTTTGTTTGTGCTAGTTTCGTGACTGCCTGGAAATGATGAGTCCATATTTTGTTTTATGGTTGTTTCATGGCGGCCTGGAAATGATGAGTCCATATTTCGTTTTGTGGTTGTTTCATGACGGCCTGGAAATGATGAGTCCATATGTTGTTTTATGGTTGTTTCATGACGGCCTGGAAATAATGAGTCCATATTTTGTTTTATGGTAGTTTCATGACGGCCTGGAAATGATGAGATCATATTTTGTTTTGTGGTAGTTTCATGACGGCCTGGAAATGATGAGTCTATATTTTGTTTTGTGGTAGTTTCATGACGGCCTGGAAATGATGAGTCCATATTTTGTTTTGTGGTAGTTTCATGACGGCCTGGAAATGATGAGTCCATATTTTGTTTTGTGGTAGTTTCATGACGGCCTGGAAATCATGAGTCCATATTTTGTTTTGTGGTAGTTTCGTGATTGCCTGGAAATGATGAGTCTATATTTTGTTTTGTGGTAGTTTCATGACGGCCTGGAAATGAGGAGTCCATATTTTGTTTTGTGGTAGTTTCATGATGGCCTGGAAATGATGAGTCCATATTTTGTTTTTTGATAGTTTCATGATGGCCTGGAAATGATGAGTCCATATTTTGTTTTGTAGTAGTTCCATGACGGCCTGGAAATGATGAGTCCATATTTTGTTTTGTGGTAGTTTCATGACGGCCTGGAAATGATGAGTCCATATTTTGTTTTGTGGTAGTTTCGTGATTGCCTGGAAATGATGAGTCCATATTTTGTTTTGTGGTAGTTTCATGACGGCCTGGAAATGAGGAGTCCATATTTTGTTTTGTGGTAGTTTCATGACGGCCTGGAAATGAGGAGTCCATATTTTGTTTTGTGGTAGTTTCATGATGGCCTGGAAATGATGAGTCCATATTTTGTTTTGTGGTAGTTTCATGACGGCCTGGAAATCATGAGTCCATATTCTGTTTTGTGGTAGTTTCGTGATTGCCTGGAAATGATGAGTCCATATTTTGTTTTGTGGTAGTTTCATGACGGCCTGGAAATGATGAGTCCATATTTTGTTTGTGGTAGTTTCATGACGGCCTGGAAATGATGAGTCCATATTTTGTTTTGTGGTAGTTTCGTGATTTCCTGGAAATGATGAGTCCATATTTTGTTTTGTGGTAGTTTCATGACGGCCTGGAAATGAGGAGTCCATATTTTGTTTTGTGGTAGTTTCGTGATTGCCTTAAAATGATGAGTCCATATTTTGTTTTGTGGTAGTTTCATGACGGCGTGGAAATGAGGAGTCCATATTTTGTTTTGTGGTAGTTTCATGACGGCCTGGAAATGAGGAGTCCATATTTTGTTTTGTGGTAGTTTCATGACGGCCTGGAAATGAGGAGTCCATATTTTGTTTTGTTGTAGTTTCATGACGGCCTGGAGATGAGGAGTCCATATTTTGTTTTGTGGTAGTTTCATGACGGCCTGGAAATGATGAGTCCATATTTTGTTTGTGGTAGTTTCATGACGGCCTGGAAATCATGAGTCCATATTCTGTTTTGTGGTAGTTTCGTGATTGCCTGGAAATGATGAGTCCATATTTTGTTTTGTGGTAGTTTCATGACGGCCTGGAAATGATGAGTCCATATTTTGTTTTGTGGTAGTTTCATGACGGCCTGGAAATCATGAGTCCATATTTTGTTTTGTGGTAGTTTCACGATGGCCTGGAAATGATGAGTCCATATTTTGTTTTGTGGTAGTTTCATGACGGCCTGGAAATCATGAGTCCATATTTTGTTTTGTGGTAGTTTCGTGATTGCCTGGAAATGATGAGTCCATATTTTGTTTTGTGGTAGTTTCATGACGGCCTGGAAATGATGAGACCATATGTTGTTTTGTGGTAGTTTCATGATGGCCTGGAAATGATGAGTCCATATTTTGTTTTGTGGTAGTTTCATGACGACCTGGAAATGATGAGTCCATATTTTGTTTTGTGGTAGTTTCATGACGGCCTGGAAATGATGAGTCCATATTTTGTTTGTGGTAGTTTCATGACGGCCTGGAAATGATGAGTCCATATTTTGTTTTGTGGTAGTTTCGTGATTGCCTGGAAATGATGAGTCCATATTTTGTTTTGTGGTAGTGTCATGACGGCCTGGAAATGCGGAGTCCATATTTTGTTTTGTGGTAGTTTCATGGCGGCCTGGAAATGAGGAGTCCATATTTTGTTTTGTGGTAGTTTCATGATGGCCTGGAAATGATGAGTCCATATTTTGTTTTGTGGTAGTTTCATGGCGGCCTGGAAATGAGGAGTCCATATTTTGTTTTGTGGTAGTTTCATGACGGCCTGGAAATCATGAGTCCATATTCTGTTTTATGGTAGTTTCGTGATTGCCTGGAAATGATGAGTCCATATTTTGTTTTGTGGTAGTTTTATGATTGCCTGGAAAATACATGTGTAGAAACAGAAAGTGCACTTAGGTTTTCTTAGATTTTTTTTAGGGTATTGTACGATTTTCGTACATTTCTAGTACTTCTTTTACAAGTACTCAAGACCCAAATCAACCCCTGAAAATGGCGAATCTGTCCCTTTAAATGAACTTTAATCTATTTTCCTCTCCTTTCCACCCTCTGAAAATGCCTGGCCCTTGAAGAAGGTATCACCATTCTCAAATGTGTACTAATGCCTGTATTATATGTGTTAAGATATTCGGAGCACATTAATATTAAATCTTATTCACCCCCTGTGACTTCTGGAACATTACAGCGGTCAATAATTGAGTCCATCCATGTTTTATCACATATAGATAGTGGAACTTCATATATTTTATATAGCACAGACGAACTAGGTTGTGTTTCATACAGTCAACCTTAAAACAGAGGGTAGAGGTCATGTCGCCTTCGGCTTAGTGCAGAAGATTAAGACTGAGCTTAAAACTTCGCATTGGGGGACAATACTGAGAAAGCGTAAACCTTAATATTGAGGGACAATACTGAGAAGGGTAAAGCTTGATACCGAGGGAAAATACTGAGAAGCATAAAGCTTGATATTGAGGGACAATCCTGAGAATCATTATGCTTAATGATGAGAGACAATACTGAGAAGCGTAAAGCTTAATATTGAGGGACAATACTGAGAATCGTTATTCTTGATATTGAGGGACAATACTGAGAAGGGTAAAGCTTGATATTGAGGGACAATACTGAGAAGGGTAAAGCTTGATATTGAGGGACAATACTGAGAAGGGTTAAGCTTGATATTGAGGGACAATACTGAGAAGGGTAAAGCTTGATATTGAGGGACAATACTGAGAAGGGTTAAGCTTGATATTGAGGGACAATACTGAGAAGGGTTAAGCGTAAAACAAAGGGTAGAGGTCAAATCCCCTAAAGCTTAGTACAGAGGATCAAGACTGAGAAGAGTATATATCCTGTTCTTCCATTGTAAAAAGATTGTAAAAATATACAGAACACCCAGTCCAAACTTCCCGCCACAATTTTTCTATACTTGAAATAAAGATTAAAATTGAAAAACAATTCAAGGGACACATTCGACATTTCGGGGGTTGAAATGGGTCTTGAAAATAAATAGTCTTCAGAAGTACTAGAAATGGACAAAAATCGCATATTTCTTCAAAGATTGGTAATTTACGCTCCCTAGTAGCTTTGATTTTGAATAAAAGTATTTAGCACTACTGTTACAATTACCAGTATGAAATATACACTTCTTTTGAACTTTTTGACGCGATAATAAACATTATTACCATACCAAGTTTTGTCGAAATCCGGCAAGAATCGCGCTTTTTAGTGTTTACGAGCTAAAAATTGAAAGCGTTTTCAAAAACAAGGGCAATAACTTATACCAAATATTTTTCGATTCTTCTGATTTTCAATAAGGTTCAATAAGGATAAACACCCAAACCAAGTTTCGTTAATTGTGCCTTCAAGAGTATTAACGGGCTAAAATAAACGCGTTTAAAAGAACAAGGACAATAATTCTTACGATTTTTTTGTATTCTTCTTATTTTCAATAGGGTTCACCTATTGAACCGTGGGTGATAACAAACAATCACACCAAGTTTCGGCAAGAATTTTGCCTCCTAGCGTGTTTTCCAGCAATTGTGGACGGACCTGACGGACTCATTTCATGTGGGCGTATAAAAATACCTTGAACTAGTAATTTCACTTTCTATTTCTATATATGTCTTTTCTATATATGGCAGAGTCATTTTAACATTATTCGGATTATTCTGGATACACGTGGATTTGAAGGCTAAAATTTCGATGGTGAGCTGTGAATAAATATTATGTAGTGTCATATGGTGCACAATGATTGGAATCATTTATTAGAGTAAGCAAGTATTTATAAAAAACACTATCCAATTGGCTACCAGAGGCTTGATAAAGAGTAGGTTTCCGTGACCCAGTACTCTTTCTAATGAGCTTCGTACTGCCCAAATAAATATATCGACCCCTAAATATACCTTGAGAAAAACCTTAATTGTATAATGGTCGACTGGCTACCCCAATTTGAAAATTAAAGGCGAGGACATCAAAGAGCAGAAAATAAACTACTACAAATTTGATATTTTTCTCGTTCATTGCCTTCATCGCTGCATATTCGCATTTTTAGAATGTATTTGCTATTTGCACCGTCAACCGTCACGATGCGTGTTCTCTTTGGCTGCTAACAACGGTACGGATAAGATAGGACACAATGGGCGCGCTAGCTTTGGGTTTTTTTGAGAGCGTGAAGCCATTTTGATTGTCAAGAATGATATTAAGTGACTTTATTAGGGTTAGGTAGGGCCATGTATTGTTTAATGTCCATTTTTGTACCGTCGCGGTGCGAATCGCCACGGCTTTTTTTGAAAGATCTCTCATACACATGGATTTATCAACTCAACGCCTCTTTACCGGAATCCTCCAAGCTAAAACCGCTATTCGTGCTCAGTAAGTAGGACCTTTATTATGGCAATTTTAACTGTTAGGAAGAATGAGCCTGTGGCACATCAAATATTCCCAGAGAAAAGTGTTCATGTCAATTGAGGAGTGGATTTAGTGCATTTTTAGATCATCAAGCGACCCAATCCCGCCTTTACTAACCAAGTTAAACCTTATTTAGCCATCCAAACCATTCCATCCTCGAACCAGATCTCGACTGTCCCCAAAGCTGTTTCCCAACAACTACCAAACAAATACTAATCACCCCATTGACAATGATTCCCACATCACCCCATCCCATTTCACTTCTTCACAATTTGCCCCTTAAATTGTTTCCTATTCGCCCCTTTCCAATATCGCTGCATAGAAAGGTCTCTCAACCGATCATACACAGGGGTTTATCAACTAAACACGGGATTCCTCTAAGCTAAAACCACTATTTGAGCTCAGTAGATAATAAATTATAAGCTATAACTGTGAGGAAGAATGAGCCTGAGCACATCAAATGTCCCCAGAAAAAAAGGGTTCATGTCATTTGGGGTTGGAGTGGGAGGCCTGTATCCAGAAATTTGTTTTTTTAATTCATATCAAACCTGATCGAACGTTTTCCCGTTTAGCCAAACAAATCTCCTAGCATTCAAATTGACCGGCCTTTGTTGCGAACCCGTAGTTTACCAAGTCCTAGTCCAGCAGACGTAGGGAAACGTTCACGCCACAACCTTCATCAACAAGACAGTAAGGGAGATAACCAACATTTTTCTTTCATAAAATTTAATATTCTTTAAGTACTTATTACAATTCATTGCGTGGATGAATGTAGTAATTTTCGAACGCCGTACTTCTCTCCCAGATATTTAAAAACCACACTTTATCATGAAATTCGACCAGTTCTCTTTTCAATATATCCATATAAAGTTTGCCATGAAATATGCTAAACTGTGCTGAACATTTAGTAAAATAAAATACGTGAGGTGATTTAATTGCTATATGTATGTCCTTATTTCTCTTTAAAGCGTTTCGGATTGGAGTTTTTAGAGATCGAATCCGGTCAATAAAGAATGAATAATGTTCTCTCAAAAAATGAGCATAGTAATGAATGAGGAACACAATACGTCCAGAACTTGGTGCCTCATTTAACAGAACAACTGTCGGTTTGAAGTTGTTTTCCATGAAGGCGTTTTAAAACCCTCCACAAAGGGAAATTCTTGAACTGCCCATGTGAGTCTAAAATTATACTGTGAAACCTCACAATAGGATGTCCCGTACCATGTCCACTCTTCTATGATCTGTATAGCTTTTTTCAGTCATTAACCGATTCTCATACGGCTTTGTTCATGATAGTTAGATATTTGTTGTATTGTTTGCCCTTTTGGACAGCATATATGTATAGGTTAATGGTTGAAAGCTTGTCAATAAGTCTAATAATGATCGTGGTGCGAGGACCGGAGCTTGAGACCATTAACCAACTCAAAATACAGTTCACAAACAATTACATCTACTCCAGCATGTGTTTTGATATAGGTCACTTGAGATCCAATCACATGCCTAACAATACAGGCAATCTTTCAAAATGTCCTGTCAGGAAAATAAAAAAAAAAGATACCTGTTCGAGTTACATACTATTATTCCCTTATTGCTTTGTCGTTCATTTCATTATAAATGATATGGATATGGATTAAAATGGATATTTTACTTATTTAATTTTTGTATATCTGGCCTGTAACTCATGGATTACAATTTGAATATGCATGTCTACAGGTCAGTTTTTCCCTTTCCCTTATGATCCATTCAAGTATTTCAGAATCGAAATACAAGATTCATGTCCAGTGGCGTAGTAAGGATTTCATTGACCGAGAGGACATCCGAGGCCCTCGACTCCCCTCTCTGGATTTTATTGGACACTAGATATGTTGGGGATCCTTGTAAAATTTATCTTATCCAGGAAGGCGGAGAACTTGTTATGGCCCTTAAATACACCACTGTCATGGCATATACGGCATCGTTTCGTGATTTACATTTTGTATTGTTAAACTTTATAAGCAATTAATGACAAGGATGACCGAGCTATTAGAATTCTTATTCCCTTGGCTGTATCAAATTTGAAACATTAGTGTTGTTTGTGAAGAGATTTTAGTGCTTTATTTCTGACAAAATAAGAATAATATTCTAATTCTAAGAATAAATCTTAGATTAATCCCCTTAATACACCGCTGACCAAATCACGAAGTTCAGGTTTCTCAGTAAATATGTATCTATGATTTTGAATGTAGCCTGATTTAGGCCTGAAGCTTGAAAAAGGTGAATTTTTATTGTAAAACTGTCCCTTTAAGTTTCGAGGTAATTTTTGGCGCGAATTTAGTGATCATGCCATGAG